AGCTGGGAACCTGGGATTTCAAGGGAATGGTCCCTGTCCAAGTATAGCGTGGATAATTACTTCCCGGAATTCGAGGACCAGTATCTACAAGAGGTTTCTAGCTGGCAGAATTTCGAGTGATCTTACTGCAGCATGAAACATCGCAGAGGCGCATGATCGCACGGGCCCGCCAGTGCGCGTCGCTAATGATTAAATTAGTTCACGAACTGGCATGTTGCCAACGACTGCGAAGGATTTGTGCAAGAAGCTGAATTCGAAATCTTTATCTAATAAAATACAATATCCGTGTGAAATTTCAGTCCCTACTTTGTCTAATTCCCAAGAACACTTTTCCGCCAAAAAATCCACATACTTTTTTAAGCACACGTGCGTGAGGCAAGCGCATGCGAATGACAATTTTAAAACGGAAGTGTCGCATGTAGAGCGGACATATGCCCCCGAGGTTTCAACTTTCTAGCTTTTCTAGATCCCGAGTTAGAAGTCAATGAAAAAAAGCTGCAGATACAGACACAGGTATATACAGACGACCTCTTGCCAACTTGCGTCTTTGCAGTTGTATAATATGTAAAAGCGCATAGCAATCTGAAGTTTTCAGGATGTCTACTATATTTGCGAATTTTGTCACCCTCTTTCAACTTAGCAACCAGAAAAGTTAGGAAATTAAAATTTTATAAGGATGCTTTCCTAGTGTAATGCTTTCCATTTAATTTAAAATCAATGCTTGAGCCACGTGTACAGACGGCCAAAACGAAACGTAGGAAAGTTCTGCTTGAAAAAGAATTCGAGAACCAAACAGGATTAGAAGCTGAAATTTCACTAGAATATTCTGCGCTTTTGTGTTAGCTAGTAATTCAAATTTAGCATTAATGCACGCCTATTTCACGAGTACAATTATGTAAAACTTGAAGTCCAGGCGTTGCTGGCAAAATGCCAGCTTCAGAATTATTCTGAATACGACGCCTCAATTTTTCAGGATTTGTTCGTGAATGTAGGCGTTAGTAAAGCAGAATATAAGTTCCTGCGGTCGCATATTGACAGCAAAACGTCCTGAAATTCAGCTTTCTGTTTTCTTGGCTCCCGGTTACAAAAACCTTCACAAGACTTTTATGCGGTCGTGTGCGAAACTTAGCGCGAACAAAAGTTGAATTCGAATTTGCTGGTCACAAATAGAAATTTCTAAAATTCAGCCTTCAAGTTTCCGGGCTGTTGAGTCAAAAATCTTAACAAAAATTTGCAGTAAATATATACATACATACACATATACATGCATGCATATAGACACCCACAAACGCACACATACATAGAGGGCAACAATATCCGTTTTGAACCGCTGTCGCAGCGCAACACACAGAACCTTCTGGCCAAAGGCATTTTTTAGTGGAATCATTTCTTCAGTGTGAAATATTGCGACTCCCAACAACATCTCGGTTTCAGACCAGATGCCAGCTGCGGGCAGAGGAAGATGAAGGGAAGCCGGTGGATTTTCGAGTCGCTTCTTGCCAATAAAATGAAGCTAACCTCTTACCATCTGCATCATGTTACTGGCTGGCGGCAATCGCTTCCCATAGCGGTCCCACATCTTTCCAGATGCAAGCTGCGAGCGTAGTTCATTGTGCTTATCAAGAATTTTG